GAAGTTTACAAGCCATTTGATGCCGCAGTCAACTACAAATTAGAGTTTCTTTTCGAGACCAACGGCCAGGTTAACTTTTTCAGCAATGCTGGACTTACTATTGAGACAGCAGTAAATGGTAGTGTCGTCTGCGTAGATGGCTACTTGCTGACATCAGAAAAATCGATGATGAAGATCGGAAACAGAGTAGGATAGAGTCTTGGGGAACACCAGTGTTCATATTAAAGGAACTGCAAAAGAAACCCGTGTAGGACGACCTTCATTTCACGGTTTGACAGGAATGATTGGTTATAATGAAATAATCGTCCTGTAATACCGTATCCAAGAAGCTTACGAGAAGGTCGGCATTCCAAAACCTATCAAATGCCTTAGAGGTATCTAGAGCAACAGCTCGAGCTTCGCCGTTATTATTAAGATGTTGGTATACAAATTCAGTTAAGGCCGTAAGTCAGAGGTAAACCGGGCAAAGAAGAAACCATATTGTTTGTCAGAGAGTAGATCATGGGATGTAAGGTATTTAACCACTTCGGTAATGATTAAAGCCTAACAGACTTTGCTGAAGAGTGGTAGGAGACTGATAGGATGGTAGTTAGATGGGTCAGAAGGGTCTCCAGAGTTCTTAAAAACAGGGACAATAGATGAGGACTTCCAACAGGCTGGGAAGCAAGAGTCAGCGAGGCAATAGTTATATAATTTGGAGAGAACTGGAGTCAGGTCAGGAGCACATTTCTTTAGGACTACGGCTGGTATCCCGTCACCACAACTTGTTTTTTGATATTCTTATTTAGAGATGATCTCCAATACCATCGACGGTGTTATGCTCATCTCACTCAATAGAGCCTGAGTTCTTAGGGGAAAATCAGGTGTGGGTACTCTGGATAAGTCGAGTGTTGAGTTGGATGAGAATTTCCGAGCAAAATATTCAGCGTTATCAGCTGTGGAAGTTAGACGAATTAATTGAATAAAGGAGGGATTGTGGATTTGCTGTTGTTCAGCACATTCTTGCAGAGCCACCAACAATCGTTAGAACCAAAGTTGCGAGATGCAATATGCTGTTTCATTCTATCAGCAAATAGTAACTTTGTTTCATTGAGGACACGCTTGCACTCGTTTCGAGCAGAGAAAAGAGACGTCTGTTGCAATCAGACATGTCGCTCCGGTGCAGGCCAAAGAAGTGATTCCTGTGGACTATAGAAGCTGAGCAAGCAGCTGAGGACCAAGGAGATGAATACGATTTAACTTTATAATTTCTCGCTGGGATGAAAGCCTCATTGCCAGCTTTTACCCAGGAGGTGACCTCAGACCCATATTTTTTAAAAACCACATTCCAAGGGATGTCGCGAAGGAAATCACGGAACGAGTCTCAGTCTGCGCGTTGATAACAGAAAAATATTCTGTTAGTAGGAGGTTCACGGCTGGAGAGGGAGTGGACGGAGATGTTAACAGATATCACCGTGTGATCAGAGTTACCAAGAGGGCAGAGCTGCGTAACGCGACAAGAATCAGGGATGGGGGTAAAACAGAGATCGAGAAGAGAAGCATTACTGTCAGGGTTATTGGGGAAACGCGTAGGGACGTCAATCACTTTCGTGAGGGATTGAGTGATTGAAAAGTTAAGGGATGGATGCCGGCGAGGTCAGTTACAGAGTTTTTTTTAAGCCACATGGTATGGTGTGCGTTAAAGTCACCGAACACGAGTATGTGTGCAAACGGATGTAGAGAGATGGCTTTGTCTATATCAGCATTTTTTAACCGGGCTTCCCCGGGAAACAAAAGTTCCGCAAAAAGTCACCAAGGTTTCCGTGTGTGTTGATTTAAAGTTCAACCTCAAATTAAGTATTTGTGCAGCAAACGACAGGCACAGGCTTTTCACATTAGAGAAGCATGCTTCACTTTATCAAATGACTATAAAAGTAATATTTTCTTAGCCCATTTATTGGTTCACATGATTTTGCCTTGATTTACCTTATGTCTTTTCGACATTGCCAGTAAAGGATAAAAAACTAAAAAATAAACTGATTCAGCAATTATCTGTTTATGTTCTGTTTACATTTATATTATAGGTATATCATATTGGTTACTTATGTTTATTTTTTACGTTTGAGTGTGGAATTTTTGTGTGAATGAAAACTCCCTGATGAAGTAATATAGATGAACAGTATAAATTTTATTTAGCATTACCTAAACATTTGACAAAGATATATTAATTTATCCTTAAGCCAGTTCAAAAATATATGCCATGATATTTAACACGTGAACTACGATGAAAATAAAATGAGAAAGATATATGTATATACTTTTGTTTTTACGCAGTGGTTCCTTGAGACATGTCATTTATTTGCAGAGTTACGCAATGATAAAAAAAAGGTTGAAACACGCTGGTTTATATTATCGAAAATGCTATCGGGTACACCACAGGCTTGATAGAAAGGATAACGATAGAGAAAGAAAAGATAGCTTACTGAATTGAGATGAGATAGACGGAGACACTTATACGTGTGGTCTGGGGATTCAAGAAAGAGAGAGAGAGTTCCCTAACCAATATGAGATGATCACGGACATAAACTCTCAGGCCATTTATGTGGAGTTTAGAGTCATTTCTAAGGAGAGGAAGATTGCCGGGAATCGAGAAATCAGAGGAGGGGATTGACGAGTTAAGGTTAGCATTTATCAATCCACCCACGAGGATAGAATGTGGCACAAGGCCGGTTTAATGTGGGTATCCCCGAGCCCGTAGGCTCGGCCAAAAATATAGCCTTTTTGATTCAGGCCCTGTCTACATCACCGAACGAAACCTTGCCCTTCGGCAAAGCTTCGTCCGGGTTCCTCTCTGCTAATGCAGAGAGTTCGACAGACGCCGACTCGGAAGCTCACAAAGGCAGCATACTACACTTTGATCATCGCACCCGGGCCGAGCAGCTTAACCGACGAGTTAAGGTTAGTCTCGCGGAGAGCAAGTATATCAGGACAGTTTTCAAAGAGGAACGATTCCACACTGCAGAAGTTGGTACGAAAACCCACGGATGTTGGAGAAGGAAATGTTAAAGAGTTTAGGCGACTTTTTGGAGTTGGCTTAGGTTTATATTTTTAATCATTTATGATCATGTTGAGTGATGGTTGGTAAGACTGTATGAATTTAAACGCAATACGAGACTACCGGCGAAATATCATCAATTTACAGTTGAGCTAGAAACTTCCATGCAAACAGTTTCTTATCTCGTACTTCTTGCTTGTGGAAATCCTTTCCGGTTCCATGATTTCTAGCCAACTTTAATCTGGAAAAATTCAAATGCAATGTCAATCATTATCTACTCTCCAGCTGATTACTCTTTTCTTTTTCTTTTCATTACTAATGTTTCTGTTTCTAATTCCTTCACACCCTTGCATCTTAGTGGCTGTAGTACCTTGCTTGGGGTGAGACCGATTTAAAAAAAAATAACACCATGTTATCAAAACACGTATTGTAACTAAAAATGAAAGGAAAAACACTTATAGTGGATAAGGTTATAATAAAAACGGTTAAGAAAACCAGATGAAGAAATTGAATCTCTGTATGGAAGAAAAATAGTGGATAAGGCTATAATAATAATAATAATAATAATAATAATAATAATAATAAGAAGAAGAAGAAGAAGAAGAAGAGCAATAGTAGATAAGACTATAATAAAAACAGTTAAAAAAAGCAGAGCAAGAAACTGAATCTCTGTATGGAAGAAAAATAGAAAATCATAGAATTCAAAAAGGTAAATGGATTATAAAAAAATTGAATTAAATTGTTTCGAACTGTCTAAACGCTGATACATTCCTTCTGAAGATACCGGGAAAAGAACTATAGTGCTCGGGAGCGCCCAAGGGAAACAAACGCCCATTTTTAAAAGTCGCATTGTGTGAAACAGACTGTAAATGGGTAAATGATAATAAAGAAACATTTTAGACACAGACACGTACACACACACACACACACACACACACACACGCGCGCGCGCGCACGTAAATCTATCTACCGTTAAACTTCACATGTGTGTGTTTTGAAACAATTTTTTTCTCTTTATTTACACAAATATCTGTCTAAAAACACACCTGTATACGTCGGTAGGTAAGTAAAATAATTGTTTAATGATAAAAAAGTTTGTTACTTTACACAAGGATAAACATCTTTCTTTCTTTCTTTCTTTCTTTCTTTCTCTTCCTCTTTCTATATATCCGTCTCTTTATCTATCTATCTATCTATCTATCTATCTATCTATCTATCTATCTATCTATCTATCTATCTATCTATCTATCTATCTATCTATCTATCTATCCGTCTCTCTCTCTCTCTCTCTATCTATCTATCTATCTATCTATCTATCCGTCTCTCTCTCTCTCTCTCTCTATCTATCTATCTGGATGAATCAAAATATTAAGACCTGTAGCATTGGCAAGAATGATAGCTACTGTCTCGTAATATCTGTACATGTCTGAAGCAGAGGTATATAAGCAGGTAAGCCAAATTGATTTTGATAAACGTTAATTTGTTTCATTTAGAAAAATCCCAATAAATAAGTGAGTGCTGGAAGGATGAAAAAGTGACTCGAGTCGGTAGAGATGATGTTCAACAGACGAATGTTAAGAATACCATGGACTGAACATGTGAGGAACGAGGAAGCTTTAAGGCAAATGGGAGCTAAAAGGACACATAGAATCCGAAAGAAACAGGTGAAATGTCTAGAAGAAATGAGGAAGAAGAACCTGGGACATATAACCAGGGTCCATAGAAGGCAATACAATGAGTCAGCTACGTAACAAGTTTCTGAATGGATAGCTGAGCCGGTATAAAAAAGGGGTGATAAGGAGTCAAATGCGGCTTAAAGATACAATGAACAGAAAGTTGTGGAGAGCCATGATCACTGATATTCTAAGGAGATATGACATATAATAGAAGAAGAGATATTCTCCTCCAGTCAAAAACATTGAGTTTCTAAGCCCCTTTAGAGATTTCAAGAATGTTTGCAATTTTATTATTGATCGGTTTTGATTGGTATTATTAGGGAATAAGGAGAGACAATGGCGGGAAGGACAAAAAAATCCGGCAAGGGTGGGGGAAAGTGAGAATAAAGTTTTGAACTAGGAGTAAGAGAGAGAGAGAGAGAGAGAGAGAGAGAGAGAGAGAGAGAGAGAGAGAGAGAAATCTGTGAGGAGATGGATAGAATGGAAAAGAATAGATTGAATAAAATTAAGAAAATGAAAAAAGACTTAGCTTGAGAAAGAAAGAAACAAAGTAAACGAAACAAAGAGATAGGAATTAAAGGCAGAGAAACGCTTAGAAGAAAGAATAAAAGAAAGAAAGAAAGAAAGAAAGAATGTATGAACAAAGAGAGAAAACGAAACAAAGATTAGGAAATAAAGGCAGCGAAACGCTTAGAAGAAAGAAAGAAAGAAAGAAAGAAAGAAAGAATGAACAAAGAAAGAAAACGAAACAAAGAGATAGGAATTAAAGGAAGATAAACGCTTAGAAGGAAGAAAGAAAGAAAGAAAGAAAGAAAGAAAGAAAGAAAGAAAAACAAAATGAAACAAAGAAAGAAACCGAAACTAACATATAAAAATAAATGAATAGACATAGTAAAAAAAGAAGAAAGAAAGAAAGAGAGAAGGAAAGAAAGGAAGAAAGAAAGAAGAAAAGAAAGAACTAAATAAAAAGGAAGAAAGGAAGGAAAGAAAGAAATGGAAAGAGAAAGAAAGAAGGAATGAAAGAAAGGAAGAAAGATGCTAATCGGTAAGTCTGCATGGAAAATGTGTGGAATTAGGGAAATTAAAGAATTAAAGTCATACCCAAAGCCTGCGAGGCTGCAAAGAGAATAAAAGATAATGCTTATTCACGCTTCGTTGATTCCAGATAAAAGCGCTCTCTTTCACTCACTCACTCACTCACTCACTCACTCACTCACTCACTCACTCGCTCTCTCTCTCTCTCTCTCTCTCAGTCTCTCACTTTCTCACTCTTTCAAATTTATGAAAAACAAAAAGTAATGGCGGAAAATAATATTAAACAGATATAAAGAAACATCTTGTTTTTATCTTGACTGCTTCTGTTCTTTACCCGTTAAGCAAAGAACGATAAGCTCAGTGGATTCTTGTGGACGGAGGTTATGCACACAGGCCCCTTTAATCATGGATCAATCTGATGAGATTTCAGTTATACACGCTCAAATCCAAAAGTAAGTAACATACAAGTTTTACATTTTACACAACCAATCTGGCCACTTTATATGTTTTTAAGCGCCATGTCCTTACAAGACGCAAACATGGCTTTTCACCTCCCCCTATCCCTTGCAGCTCCCAACAAGTTCCTTGCCTATGCTTCCTCCCCCAGTTTCAAACAAAGAGACGGATATATAGAAAGAGGAAGAGAAAGAAAGAAAGAAAGATGTTTATCCTTGTGTAAAGTAACAAACTTTTTTTATCATTAGACAATTATTTTACTTACCTACCGACGTATACAGGTGTGTTTTTAGACAGATATTTGTGTAAATAAAGAGAAAAAAATTGTTTCAAAACACACACACACACACATGTGAAGTTTAACGGTAGATAGATTTACGTGCGCGCGCGTCTGTATGTGTGTGTGTGTGTGTGTGTGTGTGTGTGTGTGTGTGTGTGTGTCTGTGTCTGTGTCTAAAATGTTTCTTTATTATCATTTGCCCATTAACAGTCTGTTTCACACAATGCGACTTTTAAAAATGGGCGTTTGTTTCCCTTGGACGCTCCCGAGCACTATAGTTCCTTTCCCGGTATCTTCAAAAGGAATGTATCAGCCTTTAGACAGTTCGAAACAATTTAATTCTATTTGTTTCACATTTTTGAATTCTATGATTTTCTATTTTTCTTCCATACAGAGATTCAGTTTCTTCCACTGATTTTTTTTAAAAAACTTTTTTTTTATTATAGCCTTATCTACTATTGCTCTTATTATAATATTATTATTGTCATCCACTTGCTTAAGTCCACCAGGTATTTCACGCGTTGTCTCTCTTTCCATCTATCTGACCCGTGACTATCAGATTCTCCAGGCCCTCTTTTCTCATTGCGCGTCCCAAAAATTTCAGCTGCCTCTTCCTTGTTTGCAACCTCTTTAAGACCTCATCATTGCTCACACGCCCGATTCATGATATCCTTAGCATTCTTCTGTAGAACCACATCTATGTCGCTTCGAGCCTCTTCTTCATCTTTGAATTGTGGGATTCATGGTGACATTGAATGAAAAAATAGTGCAATGGCTTGCCGGTTCCTTTTGCACCAGGGATGTTGAGATTACCCCGTCTCTCCTCTCAGAAATTCTTCCGCCCACTTGTACAGCTCTGAGGCGCAGCTCCTATGCCTAGTCTAGCAACTAATCGATGGCTGATTGGCACAGCTGGGTTGGAGACAGGCGTTCCTCTTCTTAACCGCTCTGGTCGCGGAACCCTTCCAGCTACCCTCACACAGTTTAGGTCGATGCAATTGACTGGGGTGTGGCCGTCGCAGTGCCCATGCGACTTCTTCGAGTCATATGCAGGATTGGATGTAGGCCGTGGACCAGTATGGTTCAGTATTACAGTTCTTAATTCTTTACTTAATAATAGACTAAAAGCGCAAAAATTGATGCCGGCAATTCGAATATGTTAAAATGGTAATGGTAATATTAACTGTTTGCTTATAAGGAAACATTTCGCATTCATTGACAGTGCTTCTGTCGTTTGAAACGTATAAACACTTTCTTTTAAAACATTTTTCAGGAAAATAGATTTCTGAACACCAGTAGCTGTTTCTGGTATTGATGGGGCTTCCTTCCTAAGTTTTTCTCTGAACTAGTGTGGAACGTCAACATCTTGATTATGTCATTATTTTCTCTTCTCAAGTCCAGTAGCTGTTATCGCTCTTTCCAGTATGGATGGGAGTTTCCTTCTTAACCTTTTCTTTGAAGTGGTGTGGAACGTCAACTTCTTGATTATGTCATTATTTTCTCTTCTCATGTCCAGTTGCTGTTATCTCTCTTTGCAGTATGGATTGGAGTTTCCTTCCTAACCTTTTCTTTGAAGTAGTGTGGAACGTCAACATCTTGATTATTTCTCACACGTGACATTCAGTTTAGTTGTTGCTGCTGTTAAAAAGTCCGCAAGTGATGTGAATTCTGTAATCTGGTGTAGTTTTTTGTTTATGATTCTGTAGCGTCAGTCCACAAGGATTGGAGAAGAATGACCTTCACCAAGATCCACTGGCATCACTCACCCAACAGCCATTTGTAAAAATTAATCTTAGAAAGCAGAGAATTTAACTATTTCAAAACTGTTTTGGCGCTATGCATGACATCCATAAGAAAGTCTCGATCAGACTATGACTGGAAGTTTTAGGATAATGTTTTGGCTTTGTAGCAATTTGAGGTGTTATGTAATCTATGTTCAATTTCCATTTCTCCTACACTAATGTTGTTATAACTGATCCATACACCGATATATTTGAAGCGTTTGGTATTTAATAAAACCACATTTTTGATACCTTGACTTGGCTTCGCCAAGACGCTGTTATGTGGTGATTGTTAAGAAGCTATAAAAATGGGACACTTCCTGTCTTTTTTCTCTTTTCTCTCTTATCCTCCCAGCCTGCTGTAGTGACACCAACCGGCATCTTGTCACGAGCATGGAGGGCATCTTTCCCATTATTGACTGAATTTTGACACACACACACACACACACACACACACACACACACACACACACACACACACACACAATTCATAATATCAAACTTAATATCTTCTTTCTTTTATACGTATACAACTGTATTTTCTCACCTTTGTTGTAAGCTTGGGTGTGCTGGTGGTTTAATGGATAATAGCTCGGAAATTTTGAGCAGAAAGCTGAGTTCCAGTTCACTTATGCACAAATACTCTTGGGAAACCCATGAATCCACTTCTCCTCAGTTGAAGGGTTCATTATTAATATTTGTATCATTAAATGTTTATCTATCCCCCAACCAAATCATCACAATCTAAAAAATATCAGAAAGTGAATCAATCAATCAAATACTGATTATCTACACAGGTATGTCTTTCACATTTATTTATATTCTCTGGAATATAAAAGTATATGAATTACCGTGGTCCCAAAATGAGGGTTCAATTCATATATTGATAGTAATATAGAATGTATCCCTCACTTTATATACACTTTTTATTGTTTATCAAATTTTTTTACAGAAAAGGCACAGGTAAACTACATTAAGGCAACGGGAAAATGATTGAGGCCGAGATGCCAGGTTAGGACCAATAATATCAAATTCTGATTAGGTAGGAATCCACCTTTCTCCCACCTGGATATGGTTTAATTATTAAGACTTGTATAATTAAATGATTATCTACCCCTCCCACCCAAAAAAAATCCTTACAATCTAAAAATATTATATAGCGAATCAATAAATTAATGAAAAACTGATTTATCTACAAAGGCATGTCTTTCAAATTTATTTATATTCTCTGGAACATAAATGTATAGAAGCTACCGTGATCACAAAGTGAGGGGTCAATTTATATATTGATTGTAATATAGAACGGATCCCTCACTTTGTATACACACTGTAATTACTTGTTTATCAAATACTGATTAGGCATGAATCCACATCTCCCCCAAGCTTTGATTTTATTAATAAAACTTGTATCACTAAATCATTATCACCCCACCCCCCCAATAAAAAACCACTTACAATCTAATATTTTTTAAATAACCTGCAAAGAGTTGAGAAGCCATAGAAAACAAACCAATCAATCAAATACCTTTGTTACTCAGTTATAGAAAAACAAAAATATAAAATATTGCCTTGTGATTTATTCCATTTAGTTTCATCGTGATTAAAAGGACGAGCCGTCATTTACACATGTAAATTTTGTTTGTCATTGCTTTTAGTCTAACTAGAAACACGGTGGGTACCATCACTGCTTTCATTCCTATTCTACGTCATTGTCTCTGTTTGGGAAAAAGTTTATTTTGAGTTCTATTTCTTGGAATACTTGGTAGAATTACTGGAAAGTGCTTACTTTAATTGAAAATTCCGGTCAATAAGGAAAGAAGAATTCTTTTCCGATGTTGCTAAGGTCTACGGTGAGAATGAATCTTGTATCCGTCATACAACTTTTGTTATACTAATTTTTTTATCGTCAGTGTTATTAATCTCTTATCTTGTTTAATGCTTGACGAAAATGCTACTATTTGCGGTGGGAACAAATCCTCTATTCATTACATAACTCTTGTTGTTGTACATTGCAATAATTGTTCTATTTTATTATTAGATGTTAAAATCTACAGGAAAGAACGAATCTTTTATCAGTTACATGACTTTTATTATAGTATATTTTTATAATGAGTCCTGTTGTATATTTAAAGATTCTTTATAAAATCCAAAGAATCAGCAATATTATTGTTCCTGACCTGACGTCTCGGCTTCAATCACTTTCTCGCCGCCGTAATGTAGTTTCCTCTGCCTTTTCTATAAATAAGATCCTGATAATTTTTCGGATAAACTCTTTGCTATGGTACTTAGACTTTATGAATTTAAGGGAAATACTAGATTGGCGTCAAGATCTCATCAATTCAGAGTTGAATTAGCCAGATGCAACCGTAAGTTCTATGCTAACAGTTTCTTTACTTGCACTTCTCGCTTATAGAACTCTCTTCCGGTTCCATGCTTTTCAGCCAACTTTGATCTTCAAAAATTTAAATACAATGTCAATCGCTATCTACTGTGCTCCTGATTACTCTTTTTGTTCTGGCTCATTATTAATGTTTCTGTTTCTAATTCTTATCACAATCAGCAATTCCTTGTGTCTTAGGGACTTTATTACCTTGCATGGGGTAAAGTCGATTTAAAAAAAATGTTCTCGTCATACAGTTGAAAATGCTAGATGTAACCGTAAGATCTAAGCTAAAATGTCTTCCCTTGCACTTATCACCTATAGAACGCTTTTCTGGTTTCTTGCTTTCCTGCCAATTTTGATCTTCAAGAATTTAAACGCTATGACAACCATCATCTCCTTGAATCCCGTTCTTTTATTGACATCTCTTTCTCCATACAATTTGCTCAATTTCTTTCACACCCAGTAACCTTTTTGCATTTTAGCTGCTTGGGATGAAATGATTAAAAA